GAATGGGGTACAATCGATTTTACACAGATGTTTACGTTGTGTCGGTCAGTCGTACATGCTACTTGTTTTGCTGGTCATCTCCCTGGCAACCTGACCCGTGGACAAACAAACCGAAAAGGCACGTAATACAGGACACGGAAAGGTCATCTTATCTATTGGTTGCTTGAGGGGGCTGCGGTGCTGACGCGTAAAGTGCCCCAGAAACGGGACGTTTACAGTAAGTACCTTCTAAACCCAGACCATAACTTGGTGATTAATGAGCCATTTCAAATTGTTAAACCCTAGATTAGAATGTGGATATTATGATACCATATAAGTTTCCTGTATGTAAAATAAGTAGGGAGTAAAGAATACAGACAATTAAATTAGCATAGTTCCTTTCTGTGTCTTTACTGATACATGCGGCTTAAGGATGTGATTAAAGTCAGATTAACCATTCCGAGTGTTTTTATACATTCTTTGGGCATAGTTCATAATGTGGAAGTCATGTCCGTCTGTACATATTCTCCCCCCCCACCCTAAAAAGTTGAATAATATCAACGGTATTTGCTATCGGAGATTCACTGATTTTAGTCAGTGTCAGTCCATTAACTCCTAGCTAAAATCTGTCTAATTTTTTTTAAAACAACTTATTCCAACGCGTTATTTAAACTCTGAAGTTTAATTTAAAATAATTTCGAATGTTGTGAGCCTTTAAGTCTGTGGTGCAGCATCCCAGTGTGTTAATGTTGTTAGTTTTCTGTTTCGTGACTTTTCACACGCTCTCATACCCATAAAAGCAGGGAATTAACATGGCGATGGCCACACTGGACCAAAACATATTGTTCTAGCGAATGGGCAGTGAACTGAATGTGTGAAATGTGACGGAAAAAAGTGGTAAGGTTTTACAATAAATGAAAAATATAGAAAATAATTTATGAATGTATGTGATGTAATTATGTATTATTTTTCTATTAGCTACGCCTATACGGATCTATGGAAAGTGGTGGCTATGTTGATTCTTGATTACCTCACTTAGCAATGCATTTCTAACTACAATAAACTTAAGACAAAAGAAATGCACAGAATCGCAAGGACTCTGCTTGGCAATTGCATGGATTCGAAACTGAAGTTCACTTTTCACATTTATCTGTTTCTCATCTAACAGAGTATAACCTCTGCAATTAGGACACTGTTGTTAAATAACGTGGAAATGAATCAATCAGTAAACGCAGAACAGTGGTACAGAAGAATGATAAAGTTTAACATTTTAGGGATAAATTATGTACGTGTATTTTTTAACTTCAAGTTACAAAGAATTCGAAAACAGTAAATACGTAATCATCCCTGTATTCTTTTATTTTCAGGATTTTCTGTGAAACAGCGTTTTTAAGATGAGACCAAGAAGTCTCCTGGTTTCCCTGTTTTTATTTATTACGTTGGACGCCTCACAGCCAGTGACCGCAGAGCTCATGAATATCTGTTAAGTATCAACTGACACAAGAACTTCCTTGACACAATCCGAATGTTCAACTCCGTTAATATAGTTCACATCTTCAAAATCCAATCCATTTCAATGTTAACCTCCCATTTCCTGGCTGCTTTCCGAGAGCGATCCCTATCTAATTTTATAAATGTGTATTGTATCGCCATCTGAGCTATATGTCTAGTCCATCATAACTTATATAAAATCACATACGAACAAACGTTTTACACTTTGAAAACAATTATATCGTGCCAGACGCGTTTCAACCTCATGAGGTCATCATTAGTGGCATATTAAAATCAGTTCATTAAATCCATATAGTCCATACAAGAATGTGTTATCACAAAGGGCTGTGTATAAAGACGGTGCCCTGCTCCTTTATGTCCTGTTTATAAACCACACTTTTGTAATATCACACTTCATGTTTTATGTTGCACACGAATTGGTGTATTGTCCCATTGAGTCGCTGGGTCGTGTCGTTCTGTTCGAGGTGGAAGTGTTCTCGTGTTACAGCGCTATGTCCAATGGCCGAAGTCTCTCTTCTGGCTTACGTTGTTGTCCACCGCGAGCCGTCAGTGTACTTCAAAGAGTACGCCATTCCAAATTTGTTAATTCATATTTCGTGTTTAATCTTAAATGTAGATTCTAGCGTTTTAAGGAATGTACGGTAAAAAATTCTGCCTGTAACGTCTTGTTATTTCATTAATACCTGCTTTACCTTAGTGTCCGATAGGATGACTGTTTATATTCTTCGATACCTGTTTCTTTTAGAAACAGCCGGTGTTTTTGTTGTGTTTGAATATCTGAGCCTGTTTTTCTTTCGTTCCTCCAGTACGTCTGTGTTACTGTAATATTTTATTTTCTATTCTCACTAAATTTAATATTTTTAGAATTTTTTATTTACAGTGTTTCTAAACGAGGAGGGAAATAAAATTGGAGACGAGGCGTTTAATGTGGCGTTGGATTACGTAAAGAAAAATCCAAGTCTTGGAGTTGAGATCGGAGAAGTCATTAAAGCAGTAGGAAATACAACTGATGCCCAAACATTCTTGAAATCCAGTAAGTACACTAATTAACTTACATCAGAGTATTTCCTGAGAATCTAACAGTTTTTCAGCTAGTCAAGAAATTCCTCGCTTTATATGGAAACCAATTGTCCGCAATAGCCCGCAACTGGACCCTGTCCTAAGTTAAATGAATCTTAATGTCTGGGATTATAGTATGCAGTGTATACGACGCGGCCATCAAGGCGGAAACCCGTCCTCACGTGGTGCTGGATATGACCATGAGTGGAGTGCCTTCAGAAACAGCGAAGTCGGTCACTGCAGCTCTAGCGCTGCCAACCATCAGCACCTCATTCGGACAAGAAGGAGATCTCAGGTGAGACCTTCTTTTTAACAACAAAGAAGGAACGTGGTAAACAGAACTCCGTTCGCACGACCGGAGATCTCCAACTATCAAACCATCGTCACACATTTATCTGAGAAACACTGTTCGCCTTGGTGTGCACCCAGCTTAACAGTAACAATTGATATGTTTTTCAAATAAAAAATTTACGTTACAGACAGTGGCGATCTCTGGAAGAAGCAGAGAAGAATTATCTGATTCAAATAATGCCACCTGCGGACATAATGCCGGAGATAATACGCAGAATTGTCATATTTCAGAACATCACGAACGCTGGCATACTTTTCGACGATTCTATTGGTAAGATAATCATTTGTGACGAATGCACCATTACAACTGTTACGAGGCGTTCTTTGTACGATGCGCACGAAATTAACACATAAAGGGCTGGTCATGTCTGGTTGTATGCAAGATTCAACTCGAGAACCGCTAGACGGAATGGATGGAATTTGGTATGAATGTTATGCCATTGGGGACTATTCTAAAATTATATAATTCAATATTGTACAATTAGTAACACCAACATGGTGGACAAACAAACTTGTGTGGTGGGATCGAGACAAGCACCACTTGCAAAAGGGTCATACAGTAATGTATTTGGTAGCAGCACTTGTAAAATATAATTTTCACTCTTACACACCCACTTGATCATAAACCGCATCCTGATATTGCATATGTAGAAATAAATGCACATTCAGATATATATATCCGTGAGTTCACACAAACACAAAATGTACACCAATGAAAATGTCTGCTGCCAATTCTTTCTTTGTTATTAGAGCTAAAAATTACGCGGATAACTCTTGGTCCCAGGTGATGACAATATAAGTCGAATATACAAAAACTCTTTCGTGGTAAATCTGTGTGATTTGTTTTTGCCAGTGATGAACCACAAGTACAAGTCTTTGCTGCAGAACCTTCCAACTCGCCACATGATAGTAGAGGCTGATGAAGGGAACGGAGAGGCGCAATTGAAGCGTCTTCGAGAGCGGGACATTTTCAACTATTTCATCCTTGGGCGTCTGTCCACCATCGTGTCCGTCCTGGACAGCGCTGAGAAATGTGGGTTCTTCGATCGCCAATTTGCATGGCACGGGATTACTTTGGTCAGTTGAATGTCACACTTACTACGTGGCTCTACAGTACTTGAAGTACAACTTTCATAAGTTGTAAGCCCTGCCCTGAGTCTTGTGAAACCAGGGTACATCTTCACATACTATTTAATTAATAGCTGCCTTAAATATTATTATTTCATTTGTTCCTAGTCTACCAAGTTGCGTTAATGTTGCTGGAGTAAAATTGTGCAGGCATTTTTGCCGTGTGTGACACGTCTTATCTACCTTATCCTCCTCAATTTTATTATCCATATGATATTTGGTAAAGAAGCTGAGAGTCATGTGGCTGATTTTATATTTCAGGATAATTTACGGAAAACTGCTATGAAGTGTGATAAATTTAAAATTTATAATATTAAGAATTAATAATACTAGCTAATATTATAAATAGGTCAATTTGTTTTTGGATGATATGGTTTCAATTTCTGGTGCGGACAGAGAAATTTCTTTGCGTTAATGTTTTATCTCTACTTGCGTAGGGATCCACCCAGCCACTCTTATAGCAGGTACCCAGAGCTCTTTCACCGGGGCGAAGAGTCATGAACGCGAAGCTGACGAAAATCTAAATCAAATAACGAGGTTAAAAATGTTTCCTCCACTTTCCATATATGTTGAAAGCATAGCGCTTATGACCAAAGACAAATTTACCTTTAGGTTTAATATTAAGTAAGGTCGTGGGTTAAGTTGAGATTTGTGGTTACTAATAATCTAAGGACAGGAAACAACATTTCCATATTTTCTTTTCTGTCTGCGTTTTAAGGACAGCGGAAACCTCGGTTGCAGCTGTAAAAATGCAACAGTATTTTTCGTGAAACCGAAGCCAAACGAAGAATATACCGAGACATACACAGAACTAACAGAAAAATACAACCTGCAGAACTTGCCAGAGATTTCTGCCGCCTTCTACTTCGATGTGGCACTTAGAACATTACTAGCAACCAAGTGAGTCTCTGACGTTCTCCATGTTTCAGCAAAGACTTTAAACACTCTTCCGTATAGTCTGACCTTACACAAGACGGTGCTTCGTATTCAGAAATTCTCGATTTCAAATCTCGGATGACTGGCCATCTACCATGAATGGATTTTTCGTGATTCTTCGCTACTTGCTTTTAATCGGCCACGCCATGTCTATCTACATTTCACCCTCTTCTGCTCTGTGCTCGTTTTTCTCGGTAACCCGTTGTAGTTAACGCTCTCCTAAGTAATATTTAAGAACTCAGTCCGTACCGCAAAGAAAACAGAACTCGTCTGAATTTAAACTTTAAGTAGTTACAATGAGAATCATATAAAATACATAAATAAAAATGCAGATTTATTAGTTGTTAAAGTAAGTAGGTTGATAAGTTTATTTACTATTAGGCTTTAAAGGGTAATGTGTCCCACAGAGTATCACGCTATCCCGCTATCTTAAACACAGTTTACTGCTCTAAGTGTACTTTATTCCAGCTATGCTAATCGATTGAACCCATTTGACAGGGAAATCATGCAGGGCAACGACTATCGGAAAAATTATGTGACCTGTGACGATTATGATGAGACAAAACATGTCACTAGAGATGTTGACCTACTGACTGCCTTTAAGCAGGTAAGACACTGGAAATTCATTCTCAAAGACGCAGAATCCTACTTTATAAAGATAAACATGTCTATTAATAAAGTATTTTTGTAATAAAATGTAACCTTTTAAAAGGATTCTTCGAAACATCGTCTAATCCGAAATTAAAACTTTCATATCGAAATTAAGAAACTGCATGTAGACACATTTATTTACGATTACAGGTGTCTCAACCAGAGTCATACGGAAAACTTTCAATTACAAGCAACGGAGAGAGTATGATGGAATTCCAGATGGAGATGACAGCTGTTAAGATACGGAGCAGTGTTCCGCAAACAGCCATTGACATGGCAACTTGGAACGCAAGTCTCACGTTGCCCCTGGACGTCAAGGACTCTACAACTATGGTCAAACATTCCGCCGTCACGGTTTACCGCATCGTAACTGTCGTGGTAAGCAACGTTCAAACATTTGCGCCGAACAGATGATACAGTGTGATCGAAAAGTTACGTAACCCATATCAAATTTAATATTTATTAAAGATTTCAAATCAATCCGCTCCGAGACGCCACGCAGGAGATTCGTCGGGTCCTGCAATTCGAGGTCACGACGCCTCAGTCATGAGGCAGTACGACGAAGTAGTAGTACAGATATGAAATATGACCCACATACAGCACTCTTAAATGTTTTATCCTCAATTATGAATAATATGCGGCTGCAAATGCCGAAATTGTAATAAATTATCAGTTTCAAATGCACGTTAAATAAATAGTGTACCACTGTTTTATATTTCAATTACATGAAGTGAACATATGTGGAAATTAAATCCATATTTTTCAGAGGCCCTCAACAGACAGCGAATTTAGCAATTCTTCTTCATTATATATGATTTACAGTGTATATTTAAGTCTGTGTATTATTTAAGATCACCTAAAGTTCAATAATATTTTTAAATTAATGAGAGATTAATTTTTGCTTGGATTACGACTTTCATATAACGATTTCTGTCACAGCAAAATCCATTCGTGATATATGACGGAGTTGACGGTAAGAACCGGACGAAATTTAAAGGATACTGCATTGACCTTATCGACGAAATAAGAAATATCACAAAGTTCGACTACGAGATATATGAAGCGCCGGACAAGAAATTTGGAAATATGGATGAAAATGGAAATTGGAATGGTATGATTAAGGAGCTTATGTTGAAGGTGAGATGGAAGTGAGAATCTGAAACGTAAAACGTATAGAATGAAAGTAACTTACATCCTTTGAGAAACTGGGATAATAAAGCTGAATTTAATTTAATTGGACACAACTCTCCAGACGTGGATATAATATAGGCTTGTATATAGCAACAAACAAAGAATAAAGAATCTTACAATAAATTCGTAAATAAAGTTTTACCATTTGGTGAGTGGTAAGCCTGCTATATTATACCACATAATGAGTGTTATCACAATGGTAGCCAACCGTGTCAATAAAAATAGCATTAATAAGACAAGAGATAATTTATCTAGAATAGATAGACTGCGTTTCGTAAAACTAAGATGAAATTATTTCGTCTGATTTTAAAGAGAAGCATTTCGCAGACAATATGGAGACCACACATTTAACCTTCTACATTACGAGCTTAATCAGCATATATCAATAAATTATTAAAATTCATTTTTTAGTGTAATACAGGAAATATTATACAAACTTAATTAAGACAGACACAGAATTATGGTTTCGTTGTCACTTAAGATAATTCAGTTAAGTATTCCTCAGTTATAAGAAAATATTTATTCAATAAAATCATGCAATTACAGTTCTAAAGAATTCATTGTAACAAGCAAGCTTGTGGTGTCATATACGTGTTCCTTCATATACGTAAATCAGATGTAATTTTCCTCATATTCGTTCCATCATACATTAAAGTCACGTGACCACTCACCCCCATCCAGTGCCGAGGTTAAGAATGAGTAGGAGCTATACCTTCTCTCCTCCCAAGCGCCTACACGGCTTTTTTGGATATTAAGACAAGTGAATGTTGCAGAATGCAGACATTGCGTTGGGTTCTTTATCCGTGATGGCGGAGCGAGAAAACGTGGTGGATTTTACGGTACCATACTACGACTTGGTGGGCATCACTATCCTCATGAAGAAACCTAAAGCGGCCACGTCGCTCTTCAAGTTCCTCACGGTGCTGGAGAATGAAGTTTGGCTGTGTATCCTCGGAGCTTACTTCTTCACCAGGTTCAGATACGGCTCATTATGCCTTCTGACTATCCTACGAGACAGTTAATTAACCCTCTGAAGCCGAAGCTCGTCTAAATAATATTTAAAAATTCAGTCCGTACCTCACAGAAAACACGTCTCCATTACAAATATCAAATGGTTAATGCTATTTAAATAAATATTATCTGTTTATTCTGAGACGCATGCTTAATCTATAAATACACTCTGTAGGTAAACGAAGACATATACATGAAGTGAATGTATATTAAGAAAATGCTTCTAGAATGTGTTTGTCCATGAAATAATTTTAGTTTAATAAAAAACCAGGGATCTCCAAACTTATTCACAAGTGGGCCTCTTGGTCAAAACATTGTACGTTTGGGGGATAGAGGACAAAATTCTTGTAAAGATTGGCGTCCAACATACAAATCTAGGCTAGTTCGTACAAAAACTGTGATTATAATGAATTGGGTAACGTAGTACTTTTATGAACATTTTCAATTGTTATTATTTGTTGTCTTTTTCAGTTTCTTAATGTGGGTTTTCGATCGCTGGAGTCCATACAGCTATCAAAACAATCGGGAAAAGTACAAAGACGATGAAGAGAAACGAGAATTTAACCTTAAGGAGTGTCTGTGGTTCTGTATGACATCGCTCACACCTCAGGTAACCGCTTTGAGAGACCCCACATTGAACCACTGAACCATTGCCGTCTTATTTGGTGGGATGTGTCCTTTTTTCGGTAGCAGACTATTTCACACAGAGATTTTAATCTGCTTTACTTATGCCTGTCCTGAAAGAAGTATAAAATACGAGGAATTTTTTTGACCAGCTGAACTACTATCAGCTTAGGTTTCTGCTCCTTTGAGTAGGTCAGTCAACTGATTTGCCTCTTTTTGCCCAATTCAGTACAGAATTAGAATATTTTTTATTTTGATACTTTTTAAACTCGCTGTTTTAACATGGCGACCGTGCGAACTTAGGCGATTAGAACAACACTAGCATTTTTAACGGAGTTGAGTACGAAGTGCGCAGCTGATCGCGTGAAATATTTGGGTATGTTATAAATTCGTGTTTCAGGGTGGTGGAGAAGCCCCGAAGAACTTGTCAGGTCGCTTGGTGGCTGCGACGTGGTGGTTGTTTGGTTTCATCATAATCGCGTCCTACACCGCTAACCTCGCCGCGTTCCTCACTGTATCTCGTCTAGACACACCAGTGGAGTCACTGGACGACTTGGCGAAGCAGTACAAGATCCAATACGCTCCTCTCAACAACTCGGCATCAATGATTTACTTCCAGAGAATGTCAGATATTGAAAACCGATTCTACGAGTAAGTTTGACACCTATTTTTTATTATTCTTTGCGAATTCGGCATTTCTATGACATAGGCATACTCCTTCAAAAATTTTACGTGTCTTAAAATTTAGGTTCCATAATTAAAACTTGCGTAAAGTACCAGCGTCTATCGGATCGATTCCCCGCAATACAACTTATATTAGATTTGTATAAAAAGTTTTGTCGAAGATGTGTCATTGAAGTGATGTATATTCTTCGGAATTTTCCTTCTCTTATCAATTTAAATATTTCAAATCGCGCAATGTTTCAGAAACTGGTTCTGTTTCCATAATCAGGTAAGACCATAGAACCTGGTCAGTTAGGTTCATTGGTCTATTGGAATCCTTGTTTCCAATAGACCAATGGACGAGAACAGAGCCAACTTCCGAAACGTTGTGTGTTTTTTAATTTTAATTTATAGACGAGGAAAAATTTCCAATAATATGAAAGAGTTTAAATTGTGTTAAGGTACTACACGAAACTTCTCCAGCAATACAGCAGAAAAAAAAATGCTAGCAATGGCAGACAGCAACAAACATTGTAGACAATTACACTTAAATTAAAATCGAAATTCAGAACAATTTAATGAATATTCGGTTTCAATTTCTGCACATGTTGTATCTTTGAAATCTGACACTGAAAATATTTAGAATGTTCTAGTTGGAACGGTGTATAAATGTTATATATTTTTTGTACGTGTCTTGCGGTCGTACCTGAAACTGCTGTCGTCCTTAATAATACGAATTCATTTTTGGTTTACGTAGAATCTGGAAGGACATGAGCCTTAACGATAGTCTCAGTGACGTTGAAAGAGCCAAGTTGGCCGTGTGGGACTATCCAGTAAGCGACAAGTACACAAAAATATGGCAAGCCATGAATGAGGCCAAGTTCCCAAATACTCTGGAGGAGGCTGTGAACCGGGTCCTCGACTCGAAGTCATCGAGTGAAGGGTTTGCTTACATCGGTAAGACAAATACACGATATGACTCCTGTCATAGTTTGGAAGTCATTAAAACTGAACGTCTTTTAAGAACCAACAGTCTGCAGTGCTCAGATTTAGAATGTTTAACCCAAAAACGAGCTGTTCTCTCTTTATTGACAAATTGTTTGAACCACATACTCGGAGAATAAAATATTAAACAGTCATCGAAGTTTGAAGGTTAATAAAAATGGTGCGACATATTATGTTCTTTCTTTGGGCTTTATGGCTTGTCCTAGGTAAAACATCGTAAGTAAATTTAAACATTTGTGGTGGGGGTGGAAGATAATTTGTTTATTTTTAACAACAGCAATCGATCTCCCATCTTATTTAGGTGACGCCACAGATGTCAGATACTTAGTTCTGACCAGCTGCAACTTGCAGATGGTCGGTGAAGAGTTCTCGAGAAAACCGTACGCCATAGCAACCCAGCAAGGATCTCCGCTTAAAGACCAATTCAACAACGCGTAAGTGAAGTGCATTAATTCGTGGTATGAATATAGTGTGTCCCAAAAATATGTATACATATTATAATACTATGGAGTCAGTCAGTAGGCCTACAGGCCTATCATATTTTATCGAACATACAATTCTTGTTTTAACAAACACTGGTTTAATTTTGTCTTGAAATAAATTCCAGACTGAATTATTTTACAGAATTTTGCAGCTTTTGAACAAACGGAAACTGGAAAAGCTTAAAGAACAATGGTGGAACCAGAATCCAGAGAAGAGGAGGGACTGTGAAAAGCAAGACGATCAAACAGATGGCATCAGCATCCAGAATATAGGTACGTGACGACAAATGGGGCAGACTTGACATAAGTAGAACAAGGAGACCCGGGTAGAACTCTCAAAGAATTAACTACTATTGCAGCCTTCCAGACCAACAAAACTTGTATTCACACGATCGACTTTCTTACGTAAATGTGTTATAGCGGTGTATCCACAATGAAGAGATATTTATCACGTGGGTTAGCTTGCTGATCTCTTTGTGTGTCACATCGAGAAAATCATAACCTCATAAATATAATTTTTCCTGTTGAATTTGATTGTCTTCTAGGAAGTTCCGACGTGTAATATCGTAGAAATTAACCGACGTTTCAGAGGTGCTTACTGCCTTCATGACCTCCCTTATAATGGAGGAAGTAAGTACATCTAAAATGTCGGTTAATTTCTACGAGATTACACGGCGCAACATCCCAGAAGACAGTCATCTTCAAACTCGCCGCCGTGAGAATCTGAAACCTCGCCGTTTTACCTGTTGTTCTATATATGGTTCGTCGCTGTTTAGGAACGACATTGTAACGGATTTAGGAAAGGGTAATGAGAAATATATCTAGACCAAAAATAAGAAAAGTAATAGAAGAATGGAGAAAATTACAGAACTAGGTCAACAACGTATAGTCTTCGTATAACATTGATAGGGAAATTAAATAAAATGATGAAATGGGCCGGACATGTAGCATACGCAAAAGAACATAGAATTCGATTCAACATATTGGTAGAGCACTGTGAAGGAAAGAACGGATGACTTCGGACAGACAGGCATAGCTGGGGAGTTGACCATCGCAGTACACTCACACGGTGGGAAATTCTTTATAAACTTTGGCTTCCATAAACGAGTTACATTTGTTGACCAACCTTTCGTTCATGGTTTCAGGCGGTGTATTCATAGTCATTTTCGTGGGTATCGGCTTGGCCTGTATCACCCTTGCATTCGAGTACTGGTGGTATAAATACAAGAAGATCCCCAAGGTTGTCGACACGGGAAAGGTGGTGGCACATTCCCGCCAAATACCGACTACCGGTGGCGGAAAATTGGAGACGGGATTGAAGATGCAAGGCTTCCGGCCTCGCAACCCTACATTTCCTACTCACAGTTTCCGGTAAGTTCCGTCTTTGTCTTTTGCGATTACGCAAATATCAACAAATAATATAAGCGTTTGAGTTTCATAATTTGAATTCACAAATAACAGCCTAAATATCTCCATAAATATATATATAAAAAAACAAAAATAAAGAATTACGAAGATGGGGGTAAACACGGCAGTAATTTTTTATGACGAATATTTAGCTTTTAAGAGAATAAAAAATTGCAGTACTGTCGGCGATGAAACGAGAGAACAGAACTAGAAGTCGATGAAGGAGGGTGTAAAACCACAATTATGATATAAGAAGAGGTATTTTATCGTGTAATGTTAATACAAATAAATGTGTAAGGGTAAACCATGGCGTTACGTATATTCGCCTTTTGTATGTATAAAAGAATCTAACGTAATAATTATTATTTTATTTTTCAGACGTAATGTGGGGCCAATGACAGGTGTAAAGAGCCCATGGTAGAAACGCCAGGTTGATACGTGGCAACAGTTTTCTCAGAGAGATATGTTCCTCACGCTACGAAAATTCGATTAAAATGTGTATAATGTAGGCCTACAATGTAAAGCTGGAATTCAATCGGATTCGAAAGTCCACCCGATTACCTTATATGACGTATTTTATGTTGTCCTGCATGGATCTTCAATAACTCCTGATTTCTACAGTAACACAGGTCTCATAATTTACATATCGTTATAGGCAGTATTCTCCATGAATTGCCTGTAGTTTGACTTGTCTTTTTACTGTTTCTTTCTAGTTTATTAAATACGATCTAAATATAGCTTTCCATTTCACAATACATATCAATTCAATGCAAATTAATTTATATCAGGGAAGCACTATTCCGTAATACATAAAACAGCTGTAAATGCTTTTCCATTATTTAGACTTAAAAAATTCATACCACTGCCTAATCCAGGCATGTTCATAAAAAATAAATCATCTTCCACCGGGAAACTTGTTTGACGACCACTCAACATATACAACATACTAATGAACACTTTCCTCATGGCTAAATTTCTGTTTGTAAATAGGCAAAAGATACGGTCACAGGTCTCAGCTATAACATGACTGGTTACAGGCATCTACTAAAACTCATTTGCATACGGAGATGTTGAACTATCACCCACGTATATACGACTTACCGTTAATGAACGTCAGAGAGCAGGCTTGTACAGTTAAACAAAACCTGTGTTGTAACTTAACATTTACTTCCATTTACCGTATATTTAGATTTCATAGAAAACATTTCCCTTTCAAAAGGAAGTATGAATAGAGAAAATGTCGGTTGTAAATGTTGAAGTTATTGCCGAATAACTTAAAGGAAATACAGCTGGTAAGGGGATCAATTATATTATTAATGTGTGATTTCATTAGTAATAATATTAACAGCATATCATGTAATACTAAAGCACTAAGCAGCACACACGAATGTAATGCTTAAAACGCCAGTATTTAACACCTAGTGACCTACTTCTCACGTAAATGTATACTGAATTAAAAAAATATCAAAACCTTTTCCGCCCACACATTTATAAACCGAATTAAATGTATTTATTCAACATTTGTATAAACACGTCATCACGAAGAAATGTTAGAATATAAATAAGCAAACAAACAACTATTAACACGGCATGCAAAGTTTTAAGACGAAGAAATGTTATCCTTCAATTTCGAAACAAATGAAAGTGAAAAGGTTCTTTTTTATTGTCTGGAATTAATATTTGTAGTTTATTTTGCGCCATGTTTTGGTTTATACAACCCAATCTAACAGACATACTACGACGTTCATAGTGTAAACAATGTTGTAGCGAAGTACAGCTCTGTTTTAGGAACACAGGCCTGGCATTATATTTTATTTAGATAACATCCTGGGGTTTCTATATCCACTGCCTTCAGTCAGAATAAAAGTTGATCATTTACAGTTTGGAGTGTAAAATATTTTTAAACGTCTTTGTCGCTCAACAAACTACACGACTATTAATTGCAGTGTTAGTACTATTTACACTAATACTAATCACTTTTGTTTATCTGCAAGTGAACACATTTATCTAAAACACATCATTCATCCTGTAGTTACCTAGAACAGAAAATTTAAAGTAAAGTTTCATTATACTCTATATAAAATAACTATTTTCGTATAAACTTCTCACACAAGCCACATTGTGAATTTATATTAAGATTCTAGATGTAAATGTTATGTATAATTAATATAAATTTTAGTGAAAATATTGAAAACACATCTAATTTCAACGCGCTTATCAAATTTGATTGTGAGTGTACGTTATTCCATTATCTACATGCCATGTTGGATAATTAATTAAAATATTATAGAGCTACAGAGTTAAAAAGAGACGGCGAAATGATCACGAATGATATAACGGGTAAGGATTGGAACGGAAGTGATCGTAACCTATCGTCAAGATACTAAGTGACAGCATGTTTTCACTGCGGCGAGTACGCAGATGGCTGCCTTGTGGACTGTTGCCATTGTATAGTCTGGTAGAAGTTTACCGACGTTTCAGAGGTGCTTGTAGTCTCAATCATCAAAACGATCCTCCTCCTCTGAAACGTCGGCAAACTTCTATCAAACTACACAACACAACAATTTAGAAGACAGCAATTTTCTGCCAAGGTACTATTTTAGAATTCGCATGGAGATAACTGAGAAAAATAACGATAAACATGTCATCTGGCTACCCGACAGATTGTCACCGGAAACTAAGAGATCTGTGCGGGCCGAACATTGCCCGACCCGAGCCCGAATTTTGTCTTCTCATACCTAACCTAAGCCCGAATTCCTTTTATTCCATCTCAAATGAAGCCTGAACGTGCGGGAGAAATGAGGTAATCAATATTAAAATTTATTTGAAATATTCAACGATTTAAATAAATTACGTGAATTATGTACCGCAAGCCTGGAGAAATTTTTTTCTTTATTTTGGTCAATGTCACTTCGGAAGAATAAAATTTACTAATGCTTTTCACCAACTTGGTTCTTTAAAAAAACGATCATCATCCTATGAGATTTCAGATTCTCAAGGCGGCGATTATGAAGAGGGTAATTCTCTGCATAAATTTTCTACACAACCGATTTCTCCACGAGTGCTTATGTTCTACCAACTTCAACGTCCTTGATTTGACGTTTATATTTACTGTCATGTACGTAGGAAAACAAGGCATCAAACGCAATCCAAACAGAACTGAACATGGCCGCCATATTATTATTTTACGTACTACAAAACAAATTACCGTTAACATTTTTTAAAAATCTACGTTTACATTTCAGAAACCCACATTACGCAGATATGGTGTGCCATTTATGTTAGAAATTTGCACGGACCCCATATTGGTATTATTAAAACTAATGATAGAGTATTAAAATACACCAAAATAAAGAGTCATCTCTAGTATCCCACGTTTCACAAAAATCCGTCATTTGGTTCAACAGTGAGGAGCACGCGAACGCACACACAAATATGTCATAAGCATACACTTTTTATTAATAAGGAAAGTAAGATCAACATGAACATTTTTGTAATACACTCAAGGAGTTAACTTGTTTACAGTCTGCTTCCAGTTACAAACCTTTGCAGTTTATCAGTCTGGACGATTAAAGTAAAAACATTTCTTAGTACACAATATGTGTTACTGATACTGTCATGGGGCACTCCATGCACTAGGCTTACAACTATTTCACAATATAAATAACAAAGAACCTGTTAGGTATAAAGTAATTCACCAGTTAAGTTATTAGTCTGTCTTACTAATTACGTTTGTACCCCTCAATGTCACATCCACACAAATTCACATGCGTTGTCACAATAAACCGACTTTTAATTAATTAGAATTATCTTAACGACTGTCTTAAGTGAAACATCAATCTATTTAATTACTTTTATCATGAGAAAATAATATTGTGCTTTTCAACATCCAATTATTTTATTTAACATTTATTAACCCCTTGACGACGAAGAGAGAGAGAGGGGGGGAGGGAGGGGAAGAATAGCAAGTGAGTAGAACAAATAGAAAATTGGTGGGGTGAAGTGAGACACAATTTATGGGGTGGAGGGGGGAGAAGAGAGAGAGAGAGAAAGAGTGAGAGAGGGGGAGAAAGTGAGGGGGAGTAGCGATAGGCACTACTGTTATAAATGGGCGAGGAGTGGTATAAAGTTGGTTTGAGGCTACGAAGGCTCCCAGGCATTGCCCTCTCGTCCTTCTGGTATGAATAGGTTTAGTAAGGGCAAGGGAAATGGATCAGGGTCTCTGCGTTAATTTTGGATTTTGATATTGGCCTTGGGCGGCGATTTGGAAAAGATTTACGTTAATATGGGGGGCTACTATAGAGTGGAATTTTTCCAAGTAACACAAGTATTCAGTCCGTACCGCAAAGAAAACAGCACTTCTCCATTACATAGATACATTTTTTAACGCTATTTAAAGAAATAATCCTTGTTTACACTGATATATTACAAAAAACACAAAAAACAGAGTTACTGATATTTGAAACAGCTGGTTCATATAATTAACATTCGGCTTTAAAGGGTTAAACAGCCACGCCCATGATCATTCCCGGGATATTTGAATCGAAGTCAAGTCCAGTTCTGAAGGTCGCGGGTTGACGAACATTAAGAAAATTATAATTGTCATAATTACATTTGAAATAGTGAAATTACATTCTCAATAACGGTATTAGTCCAACAACAATTTCTTCCTGTCCTTCGTATTCCACATCACCGTACAAAAATTTTGGAAAATACCTTGCTTATGACTGAGTTCTCAAAAAAATCCTGGGCTTAAGACATGTGCACTTTTTGGGCATCTAAAAATAATTGCATTATATAGTTACTTCTTCCATTACGCTCAAATTTACTAACTTTACGAGTAAAAAAACTTCCTGGTAATGCTTAATTTAGCATAAAAGTTGGCCATATTCCCGTACTCCATTCAGAATACATTTAAAAGGTACATGTTAAGGCACGCAGATTTTCTGGGGGATACCTGTGGCTGCGCAATTTACGATCGGACAAATGCTGGGGTCGCGGGTTTAAATCTATATTCGACAATGGATGTGAGCGTTAGTAAAAACTTTTCCCAATTTAAGTTTTTTACCACGGGGCAATTAAAACATATGTTTTAGAGGCTTTAATGCGATTGCCTTATAAGCATATTCCTTTGTTTTCCTTATACAGTCTTACTGATTAGAATCTACGCACTGCATGGTGTCTTTCTTTTGTAATTTTCCTACTACTTTCATTTCTGAAGCACCCACAATAAGGACAAATTGGCGGAAATTTATCTGCTTATTTTACGGTCATAAAGATAGTTTACCTTATACAAATATCTAAGCCTGTATGCATGTATTTCATAGACAATCGAAAACTTGCGTGTTATTGAATGCAGCCATGACATAGAGGCTATTTCATTTGAACTCCCAGTAGCAAACATTTCAACATTTTTCCTCCTTTGTTCAACAGGAATTGCTTATACGTTTTCGCTAATTACGAAACGCGACATATTTCAAAATACCCCATCAACCATCAGTTGATATAATACAAGATTAGGGAACACGATACGTCAGAGTTCAATGGTGTGTGACATATCAATAGCCGGCAGTTGTTTTTTGCCGGGATGGTTGTTTCTGGAACGTCCCGTTTTGGTTTCGAGTTCCAACTCCAGAGTGAGGCTCTCCACCTCAGTTTCCAGAGTTCTAGTACGTCTGAACATCTGCACGTAGTTTAGCTGCAGCTGGCGTTGATAACGGAGTACCTTTTCCTTCTCCTGGGCCCACGTAACTCGCTCCCGCTCAAACTCATTTCTCTCCTCCGATAATTCTTCGCGAAGTCGATCCACTTCCTTCATCAGACACAGGTCGCCGTTCATCAAATTACTCTCGTCTGTATTGGCGGTCCCAGATTCCGTCAACTCAGTGTCCGGTCGAGCTACTACTTTCTCAGTTTGTTGAGTTTTGGGATTGCAAGTCCCATGACTACACTTAACCACTGCCTGAGCGACTTTTAGCTCCTTCTCGATCTGTAACATGTCCGCCCTCAACTTACCCACTTCTAACTCGTTAGCTGCAAGTTTCAATTTGCTAGCAGAACCTACTTCAACGAACTGTTCTTTCAACCTGCTGATCTCTGTTTCCAACCTCAGAACCTCCGAGTCGGAATCATCTTGTCGACGTTTGCTGCCTAGATTAGTTTCCTCCAGTTCTGCTATGAGTCGCTGCAATCTAGCAATTTCCTCATCACGTTCCTTCATCTGTCGGCGGAGTACAGTAGCTTCGGCCTCGTGTCGTTCCAATTCCGTTTTCAATTCTCGTGATTGTCCACGCAAGTGAAGCAGCTCGTGACCCTTGGTTGTCTGCTCGCCCTACGAAAGGAATACCACATGAGGTCTTCGATTAAACAAATCGATTGAAGGCAAATGACGGTCTGTGTGTCAAGTACCAAATGTATGTTGAGGACTGAAAACATGCAGACGAATTGCGACCTGGAAGTGAGTCAAGAATGAAGAGAAATTTTATAATCAATCTGGATAACTTTTGCAAGCGGAGACGTAATTAATGTTTCTGCGACGTGTGCGAATATTTTACAGTGCGCCTTCTCCGAGATATTTTATCGGTGTACGATGTAGTCGACCGACCCTTCGGTCCAACCAACTGTTATATGAAGGTCTCCTTTGTTCACTTGTTTTTTTTTCGGGAGCCAGGGGTCTCTTGTGTGGGCAGACTTCACTTGACTCTCGTTCTTTGGACACCAAACAAATCGGTGGCAACTGCTCCGCTACAATTTAGTTTTAATATTGGAAATTGTACTAAATTATAAACCCAAAAAATTAAAAACAAGCCGTATGCACTAGAAAGTGACACCAATCAAGCGTCCACTGAATCATTGTTAGTCCGGCCGTTACACCAACCTGGGTGTACAGACTGCGTGTTCTGCTGGCTGGAGCTACCCTGGACAACCATCTCTCGTGGACAAGAGGTCCACTGGCGCCCAATAACCAACAAAAATAAAAAAAAGTAAAGGGAGATCGGTTACAACGAGTGTCAAGGTCACCGGTCGATATCTGGCCTGACGATTAATCAGCCGAAAACAAAAGACCCGTAGCACATCAACAAAACATCACACTTATGAAACAATTTTTGAATAAGGAATGGTATCATACAAGTCTGGTGTTAAGCTTACCTCGTATATCTTACTTGACTTGTCATCCGTGAATTCATCGATAATGGTGAGTACATTCTTCTTCAAAAGAGATGATTAAGTTGGAGGCGTGTTCCTATGCTTTAGCTGACCGTACATAGTTTATTAAAACCACTGTAACAATGCCGGAAAGATGTTCGGATACATGCCACACACCTAAATGGTGGATGAATGGCAGAAGAGGCACTGAGCTTGATATAATTTTTGAAGTTTTTCATTTCGGATGAAAGTTCGGCGTCATTGACACCGTGATTTATTTACGAACAACATTTATTGATTTATATATAACTAACTGAGAATAGTTTCGCCGTGTAAAGAACTGAAATACAAAGAAAATTTAGTCATTTTCCAACCTCCGCTGATTCTGTGCAACAGCAGAATCAATTATCGAAGTTGCGTTTGTCTGACAGTTCCTTCCATGTCGTAGCTTTTTTTTTCGAGATGAAAAATCGACAAAATGTAAACCCCAAAAACGTAAAGATATTTAAATGTTAAGCATAAAGCTTTAATTTTACTTTTACGTATTAACTTAAATAAAATACATTTCTTCTGAGCGCGCCACAGTTCGTCGATATTATTTTCATATTACAAATCCCGAACTTCTGAAATATAAAAACCACATCAAATGTTGCCACTAACCTGCGAGTCCTTCAGCTGTGCCTTCAGAAGCGAAAGTTCTCCAGTCTTCTGACAGAGCCCCCACTCTGTCTCCTCCAGACGACCCCGAAGGAGGTCCACCTCTTGACGCAGTTCTCCAACCTCCCGCGTGGCTCTCTCGGCCTCCTCTCGAAGCCTGTTCTTGTCCTGCTGCAACTGAGCGCGACCCAAGTCTTGGACATCTTCTCGCTAATATTTACGCTACGTTGAAATATACTGACCTGCTGCAATCTCGTTAGCAAGCTCCAGCGATCTAGACGCTCGCCGAGAACGAAAGCTTAAACTACGTTTTGTCAAAATAATCCCATTATTTGTCTGCATAAGAGCATTTCATATAAATGTAGACACGTTTTATAATCCTAACACAAAAGTAAGAGATATTTCTGTTGAACCCTAAGTCTGTTTCCTCGATTAATGCTAATTTCTTCGAAATATACATCGATCGACCTGCCCTTTAACATAAGCAAAAGTTACGGTCGATGGCCTTCCAGAAAGAACATCAATCCATTCATAAATTTCAATAGTTTTCACACATTCGGATTAAATTAAATCGGATCATTAATCAGTTGTTATTTTTGCACTCCATCACTCACACAACCATATTCAACGTTTCACAAGTAAAAGATACTCAAAATACATCGTAAAGAAATTAGGGACAAATGAGGGTAAATTCGTTTAAGCCTACTTTAAATTCGGCGCATATTTCTTTGCTACCAGTATCACTAAAATTGCATTTAACCTTTGACTGTCACTCACATTAACGAATTTTATAGATATTAATACTCGTATATTGATTTTCTTCGACTTTCATTGACCATATTCTTACCCCTCCCCCTTAATGCGCAAAACAAGTGGCCATGAGGAAATAATCACACTGTACCTGGTATGTCTGCATCATGAGCATTTGCTCCAGTCTGAGGGCTTTCTGTGCACCTGCTCGCAACCTGTTCTCATGCACAGTCTTCATGCGTCGAAGTTCCCGCTCCCACAGCCGTTCCTTCTCCTGATAAACTCTGAAGATAACTTGCTCATTGTGTTCCATGGTTTGACGCAGGTAGGCCAGCTCCGAGTCGCGGTCCCTGAGAGCAGCCTCCAGTTCCGCAACACCGGAGTCCGAAGGTGACGGCGTTAGATCCAACAAACTACCGCCATCGCCTCCAGACAGCACCCGGAAAGAAGAGGACTTTGAACTGAAGACGATTTTCAAGTCAGTGACATGAAGACATAGTTGTCGCTGTGTTTCAGTAACGTGCTAAGAAAAATATGTAAACTGTATGGTACCAAGCTTATTTATTACGAACATAAAATCGATAGTCAAACCTATTCGATGTATCGATTCACCTGTTTCCATTGCCGTTGTTGTGCGAGATGCCAGAGGTAAGGGGCTTTCGAACATTTTCGAGGCTGTCGTAACCGACGAGTTTTCTGCTCGACGCCAGTGGAAGTGACGTCAGAGACGTCATCGCTAGAGCCGGCGATGAGGATGTTGAGGTAGAAGAAGACAACAGTTTCCGGTCCAGAGAGTAATTTGAATTGCTGCCATGGTAATGCCTGAGGTCGCTGCTGCCTACGGATATTTTAACACTTATTTATCTCTGTGGTATATTACAGGTTTAAGTATTGTATTTAAATTTTGAAGAAAAAAAAAACACACACACCATAAATTAAAATTCAGCATTTCTTTGCCAGTGGTGATGTTTACAATCTTAAGTTAGCAGAATTAGGGGAAAACAGATAAATTTACGCCTGTTTCACGACTATAAAACGACTTGAGGGTGAAACAAAAATATTTTAAAATGGTTTTAAGTTTTTAATTAAGAATATTTCCAGTAATGTCGAAAAGTCATACTTCCATAGAGCGTGAGTTGGGACCCGGGACGCGCCAGGATGGGCGTGGACCCATAATGTTCACCAGAGTTGGTGAAACGAGCCGCCGGCGTCATGGCAACTGGCTTGAAGGCGATTGGTCGGATGACAACCTTTCCCTGAAATAAAATATAGTCTGTCATTTACTACTGACATAATAGCGAAACATACATCAGAATTAATGTGTATTGGACTCTTTGTAATGGCCAAGAGTTGTTTTCTTTGCATTACGGACTGAATTCTTAAATATTAAATGATTAGTATAAAGTGATTGTTTCATTAATTATAAACTTAGTATCGGCTTCAGACCTGGCGCGCCTGCCATACCTGCTCAGACTACACGCCTAACAGCTATGCAGGAGAAGTTGCCTCACCTAGCAGGAGCCAGAATCTTGACAGTCTTTACTCGTTCCCTCAACTTTCATGTCCGTTGGCTTGTCTGTCAGTCTTTCCGAACATTTTATCTCCAGAGTTACACATGGCTTCTGACAACATTGGTACATTACAATTTCTGGCTTGAATTTCATTTTGGCCGTTTTCGGTCCAAGATTTTCCACGACTCCTTTATTCAAACTGCCATCAACATTTCTAAACCATTTAGACATCCCAAAGGCGTTATTAACGCCACATCATGAAGGTTATTGTAGCATTAATGTGACCAGAGGTAATTGTTGCACAATAATGTGTTCCGACATGGGGACCTCGGTTGCCATAGTCAATCTACGGTGGGCGTTAAAATAACAATCGCCAGCATCCTGGCAGCTGACAGCGGTGAGCAACTAACGACCGGCCATCAAAGTGTTTATGTGTGTACAAATTTTTGGGGCAACCTGTAGATAAACCATTCGATAGATTATTATGAAGTCGTAAGAGACTAATTTGTGCTTATTATTTTCAGTTCCTATGTGCAAGTTCTGGGTTCCGTAGACACAAGGAGGAGAAGAGGGGGAGATAAATCAGTGGCATACGCAAAGACGACGAAAAGCATCAATATTATTCTTCAAAGAACGGGAAACGTAACGAGGTTGAGCAGTTGTACCAACTTCCCACTACCGTTAGGACCACGCCTCTACCACGGGTGCGGTTCGAGATGAAGGAAAGAAGGTGGGACGTACAGTAGGTCATGCCGGTTTTTGACCAGCTTCGTAAGCCCCGCAGGATTTTTCGCCTTTCAGGTACGATGCCTGTAACCAGCCTGACAACAATGACTTGTAATGGCTAGCTTATCCAGCACCTTTAAACTTCACTCATTTAAAGCCTATCAATAACAATGGCGCATGCCCGTCTGTTTAAATATCTAATTTACAAAATTAATCAACAAGCTTCGATCAAATTCGTTGCTATTAATTGATTTTACTTTTTTGGACGAATTACATCTTGACCCATAAAACTTACATTCTACGAAATTAATACAAAACTCCAATAAATCAAAAGATCATGGAGCAGAAAATTAGTTTAGAAAATTTATTTCATTAACAATAATTGTTAATGAAATTAATATTATATTATAATAATATTATCAGTTATGGAATAACTTTCGATATGGCAACCCTATACATAATGCACAGCTGAATGATTCTGTCAACAACACAATTAATTGTATTAATCAAAGTACAATATACCTAGTACAAGTTAGTTCTGTTAACAGACATATCTTGTAACAAATTCGAATCAGAGCAAAAAAAGTGTTCTGAAATAGTGTACCCTAAAAGAGAGCGTACATTTGTCTTCTTATCGTTATGAGGTTCGAATATAATGGAATATGATGTGTGTGAAAATAAACTTTTAAGATCATAAAAATATTACGTACAAGCATTATCAACATATATCCGTAAAATATACATTTTATATCTTCTCAGTCCGTAAAATTCGTGTTTTAATCCCTAATTTGACATAAATATACTTTAATAACCCAGTCTATAAAAGTGTTTTATAGCTCCCGATTACATAAAAATGTTTAACACACGATCTCATAGAAATGCATTTAAATAATAATCCTTCATTTAAAAACTGGCCCCAAGCAACTGTACTCACATTCTGGAAGCACTGCAAGAAGTTTTCACTTCATCGTAACATCCCTCCACACTCCACTAGATCCATAACGAAATCCACAGCGCATTTTACCGGAACAACGACTGAAGACGGAGTACGCAATACGAACGTGGAACAGGAGTTTTAAAATGGCAGGTCAACCCTCAACCTCTGGGCTATACTAAACTAGAATCGTGGCATTGTAAGAACCGTTAAGTGTTTCTTGCCTGTGCGTCACCAGCACGAAAACCATGCTTACTCAGAAAATGTTTCATTAGGAATCAACAAGGATTAATTCCTTGCGCATTTCAGGACTTGTTATTCGCGGAAGAAGGTCGTTCGATTTATTTATATGCTTGTAGACTATATGTGCTTTCAGTTCATATATTTGCTGTACCCCGCCATTTCACAGTTTAGAAATCAGCCGATGAAAAAATATATGTGAAATTTATAAGGTAACGCCTATCTTCTCAACACTGACTTCACCACTAAATAAATCCTTCAGAGCGACTGTTTTAATACCCACGACCGTTCTCTAGGAATGATGAACAATAATTTTTAATGTCGGAGAATTACATTTGAACCCAAAGGTCGTGGTGTTAATAAGTCGGTACGTGGTTTAAGAATCACGGAAATCATGCAGTCGCCAAAACGAGTGTTAAAACGGAATGGCCAATCACAACGCGACAAGGTACGTGAAGATACGGCCAGTGTGACAAGTTCACTGTAAGGTCCTATCGACAGAGACTCCAGAGGTTACTTCCGGGGAAAACATCTGCAGCCATTTTAGGTGCGCGCGACACATGTAAAGGTGAAGTTCAATTAGATCTATAAATGGTGTCCGCCTGGTTATTCTTGAATCTAGTACGCAGTAGTAGTGGCGGATCACAGCCACACACACAGTACTGTCGGAGAGTTAAGCAAACGCCTGTGACGTATTCGGCGTGTAAAGTCACGTGCTGCGCTACTAGCAGTCCGAAAAACATCACGCATGTGCCGATTAATGTAACTTTATGAGTATTAATTTATAATAAATAAATAAATAACGATATTACGAACAACGGAGCAGCGAAAATTAATAAAAACGCGCAAAAAATGTCTACACTAAAGACCAACGCTTTAATTCAGGAATAGGTGAAATTTCAATCATCAGGGCGACGATCTACAAATAGCACATCCGAAATGTTAGTAAACTTCCACCAGACTACACGGATCTTAGAGAAACAGCTTAAGAGCATGGGAAGTGGAAAACGACTTCATATTCCGCTCATCACAATATCCTTGGTTTGATCAGAGTTTGGTTAGAGTACAAATTATAAATACCCTTTTCTGTAATTCTCTCTACCTTACTGTTATTTGTGCTTGCTTTTTCTCTGTCTCTCATAGGTTCAAATATTCTTGTCGGCATTTTTATTAACAATCACATTCGATCTATGTCCGTCCCTTAAAGTGAAAAGCAATTTTCACACATTTAATATGAATACAATTATGAACAATATAAATGAATGAATGAAGGCTGATCTTGGCCTAGCATCAACAGACCACCTTGAAACAAACGACGAATGTAAACCAAACCCATAAACAGTAGTATTCTAAAGAAAAAAACAACAGAAATGATTTTACGTCGGTAATTTGGTTTCCTTGGAATCTCCAATTACTCAGTCGCATGTCGATGTACGTCGGGTATCGTGTGGAGCAAGACAAAATTGCCAATAATTTTACCCTGGCTGATGGCATAGTTTTTCTTTGTTATATGGGTAATAATTAGAATAGATACCCCGCGGTCTTCGCTGCCTCGTTTTAACACAACTTCCCACTCGACCTACATCCCTAAAATCCTTTTACACGCTTACAGTAAAGGACAGAATATGGTCTGTTCCACATGCGAATGCCATCCTGCAATGTACGGTGGAACAAGCTGAAACCTGCTGACTCTACGCGGTTTGATCTGAGAGTGATGGGATCCGTTTATAAAATAGATATTTGTGCTGTATGTCAACCGACAATCATCAAAATTTCTTGAATTTAAACACCCCCTACAGTAATGACATGTTATCAACATTTTGATGTCAATATTTGATCCAAAATCTTTCTATCTAGGCAGTGTAGATTACTATATAGATACCAACGTTTCGGAGACATATACTGCCTCCATCTTCAGGGCTGAAGTTTCGGTATCTACCTAAGAGTCTACACGGCGTCAATAACCACACCACCATCATCCTCACCACCGAGAAATCCTCAAATCTGCCACAATTTTAATTTTATTTGTTGTTGTGTATGACTGTGAAAATTGGCCTGACACCTGAAGGAAGAACATAGATCGAAGGCGATTCTGTCAGCCTGATCTGTACGTAACGTGAAACAGTCGTTTCTATGCCACAAGACAGCGTACAGGTCGACGAGATTCGATCAGTGATTAGGCAGTGTAGTCGCACTCCACCGATAAAGAGGAGGGAGAGGAATGCTGTATGCCCTGAAGCCATCAAGGGTTATGACGCCGCCGGTTCGTGAAAGAACCAGAGATCACTTTCTCACGCTCAAAACTGTACGTAGTACAGAGTGACCCAAAACATATGTCTTTAAAAAATGTTTTGTGCTGTTTCCCGCAAATAAGTAAAATTACAATTCTTGGCATTTTCTTAATTTCAACTTGTTCAGCCAGTTGGTTTCTTGGTTTTCAAATAGGCAGAATACATCTGCTTTTGTAAGAAATCAGTGAAATTAGAACTGTCATACCATGATAGGTGAACATTATTTAGAGTTAAACCATCAACCACAACACTAAAATACGTCTTGGTGAATTAAACAAAACATTAATCTACCTTAACCATCCAGCGATATCTGAATCTGAAAATAAATGTTTCCTTGCAAGCGAACGACTTTAGAACAGAAAGCAGCGTTGCTAAGGGACAGAATTTAAGTGATGTTATCCAAGAATTGGGTAAACATCCCAAGCAATTCATTTTTATTGTCTGAAAATTGGAATATTCCTCAAATATAATACCCTTAACACAAATCTCTTCCTTAAAAATTTGCCTGCACTGTGTTTCACAACGATAAAATTGACAAATTCAATTGATCGACTTGAAGTATCATAACATTCATTAAATTGTTATTCCTCCCTAAGACTTCATGAACAACATAAATCCAAACATAAAATACAAAATAAACGTTCTTATTCTACACTGAAAATCGTGACAGTTTTGTTCCTACAATTTTATTTCTCAAACAACCGCTGCAAATCCAAATCCCATGTACTATATTTATAAAATTCAAATTGGTGAGCGTCTGGGACTCACTGCGAGTTCACACGGCCGGAGCGTGAAGCCGATCAGTCTCCGAAGTTACAACAAAGCAAATCTGTATCCTTAATCCACTCATGGTGTGGAACTTAACAGGGATAAATTTACCTTTCCTGTTGACAATGCTGCTTTGCCTTCGAGGAAACCTACAAAGTTTTTAAGAATGAGATGTAGATGTGCGATCCGCTTCACTCTAAAGGTCTCTGCATACACGGCTAAGGAGCAAACTACGAGTAAGAATGTGGTAGATGATCTTTAACGGGAATCGAATGCCGGTCACTCAGTCAGTAGTCCGTTACTTGCATGTCTCGTAAATTTACGTGGCGGAAATGAAGTCAAAATACCTGACAACTTCATGAACTTGAACTACTAAGATGATGATCTATTGTTTCGCTACAGCCTATAGTTGAATGCGGATTGAGAGGCGGGGATGAGCACGAGCTCAAAGAGACGTACGCCTCAGCAGTGACGCGTTACGTCATCTCGTCCCCCCCCCCTTTCCATAAGGTGAATGCAAAAGATAGGTCGAAAGTACAGAAACCAGTACTCCACATTTGATTACAAAAAGTAGTATTGCTTCTTTCTTTAAGCTGTCTTTGCAAAAAAACGTGTCTGTTTATCTCCAAAACCACTAAAAGGATGAACACACACACGAAACCACTGACAGATTTCAAGTTCAAGTGGCCACTAATGAGGATGAGAAGAAAATAATCATCACTTATTTATTGTTTAACAATCACTGTTAAAATTAGAAGCATGTAATCAACAAATAATCATCCTCCGCAATAACTTATGATGTCAAATAGTTCCTCTGGCCATAAATACGTACATGGCAACATTAGAGGGTGGCAAACGAGAAATGATACAACTTTATTGCAGATTAAAAGAGGGATCATAAAATGTATTTAGTCGTGGATGTTCAAGTCTACATAATATATTTATTGTGTGAAAAACGACAGAAACAAAGACAAAAATAAAGTTGCCAAGATGCCTTTTGTGAATTTTGAAAAAAACATGTGACTAGCGTTCCCAGAGACAATTTATGGCAAGAATTGAGATAAATGGAAACATATCAGAAATTGATATAATGTAAATACATACACAAACATACTACACACACAATCTTGACGGACATCATATTTGAAATTAACTGGCATAAAAGTCGTCGTTGAAGGGCTTCGAAAGGGGTGTGGTTATCTAAATATTATTTAATATTTATTTAAAACTTACTTCGAATGTACGGCACAGGACATTTCCTGAAAAATGGGCTTCGATTTATAAACTGAACACTTCACACAATGCTGGTTTTTATGGTAAAATAATATTCACACAAGGCCCAAAATATATTAGATATATGACCAGGAAATTAATAGACGAATAAAAAATGGTGTCTGAACATGCATCTCCTTAATTACATCTCTATTCTGGGCTCGAGTATCGGTGAAGATGTTGGGTTTGGGGATATTTTTTTCTACGACAAACAACGACACGTGTCGAATGAACAAACCAAACCCTATGGCAAGTTTTCGGGCAATTAAGATTGACAAAACACGTAAGCCATCTGTCGAACACGCCCGCTTCAGGAATTCTGCTAGTCTTTTAAAAAATTAAGTGCATCATGCCAACAGTAAGTACTTGTTCGATTAAACATACAAACACTCCTTAATTCTCGTAAAGTTGCAGTATTTTTCTGAATGAATTAGCAGGTAACATACAGTCAGGTTCACTCTCTCACATTTAAATGTGAGAGAAGCACAGAATAGAACGCAAAAGCTGAAACGACAATGGAAGACGCAGAGAGAAAGACATAAAACCCAATGACTGATGCTTACTTCTTAACAAAAAGATTTCTCCTTATCCCAACCCTTTCTCTTTTACCACAGCCTCACATGTTGATGGATGAGGCTCTTTCTTCGCGAAGATAGACACCAGATGCTTACACTGAGATAAAAGTAATAGCGAAGGCAGACAAAAGCTTGTTCACTTTTGCCGGACCATGCATGCTTCTTTATATGCCCATTTTAAAACCACGCAGAATAGAAAGACTGCTTTGTTTACTACGCAGTCCTTTTCATGCGTCTCTTCTTCAAATATTTCCTCTTTTTTTTAAACATAAGTCGACTTATGGCCAAAACTCGATTGTTTTTAAGACAAGACAGACCGACAGTCATACAACTCAGCTCGAATTTCTCATTGTTACAGTAAAGAAATGTAAGTCGTATTAAAGAACCTGAGTTGTTATCCAATACAATCAACGAGTTAGCAACACGACTACGAAAATAAGAGGATTTGTTACACTGCACAAATGCGTAACTTATTAATCAACAAAAAACAAGTACAACGTCAAAACTCAATTTACAGTCGCACGCTCTTAAGAATTTGGAGTACTCAGAATTTCTAAACACATTCTTTGTGAACTATACCGACAACTGTAATTGATTCTTCTTTAATTTCTTGCGTATTATATTTATCTCTAGTACACAATACAATGTAAGGCATAGATTCATTTATTCCGTTGTCAACAAAACTAATCATTCTTGTGTCAGAGACTCGTAACACCTGGTGTAATAGAATTCTATTCAGATGTTTGAAACATCAAATATATAAACTTAAATCTTCACTTTGTGATCGCAAAGAGACGGTGTTAAGCAAAGGTCAGGCTAACCTGAAGAAATAGAGTGATCGGTTCACTGTGTATTTTGTGTTTAATAAAACGCTGAGGTGCGTATTAGGAGTTAAGGGCAAGAAATAACAGAGAATATGAAAATTACATAATCAAGGGGATTCAAAATTGTTACTCTTCACCAAATACGTATTATAAAATCAAGCTGACATAGGGGCGGGGCATGTAATGCTTATAAGGTGTGAAAAACTCGTACATTATTTCTGCCTTAATATCTGAAGAGAATGGACAACTTGGCAGACCTATGCGTGGAGAATATAATAATATTAAAATGGATCTTTACTATACAGGGGGTTGAGGTTAATTTAAAAAAAAAGGTCAATGAGCCTTCGGGCCCCTTTAAAGCCTAGAAGTTATCTGGCGAACCGAGAGGCTCTCAGCTTCTCAGGGACTGTGTCCCATGAATTAGTTACTAGAGTTATGGCCGTTTTAAGAATTGAGGACAGCAAACAGCAGAAATAACAGTACACATCAGGACGACTTGCCTTTCCGAGAACTCCGCTGTACGGTGTGATCTTCGGGGGTGCCAGTCGTGATGCGTCGGCGTCCTCAGAGCTGTGCTGATGGTGATTGCCGCTAGAGGCGCTGCCCAGACCGCTGCTGGAGCAGGCCGATGGTGTAGTGACCAGGTCACAGGGGGAGT